GTGTGAAATTAATGTTTGAAAAATTGTGTTTTATGGTCGGTGGGATGATGTGTATACTGAATCAACATATTTCTGCAGTCATCAGAATGTTTATATATCTCAGCCCAGCTATTTTAAACCGTTTCATCACATTCTAGGGTTGCTATTAAGCATAAAAAACCCTTATACAACACTGATAGGAATACTGAGATAAAAGTCACAAAAATACAACCATCAACGTATTTTAAAATTGTTGCTTTATTGTATCATAGTTCATAGAATTGTTATATTAGTGCTACCAGTATTACAACATCGATATTGTACTTTATTTGTAACATTTGAACTTTTAATTTAGTGCAATATGCACTATATCATTGTCATTGCAACATTTTAGTACAACCTTCACAAACAACCGCAACTGGATTTATATGTAGCCTATGCCTAAATGCACTGTATTATCCCAGCGGTCACTATTGTTGCCATCAACATGTTTCCTCATTCTATGACCAAACTGAATATATGTGAATTCATATATTAATGCTAGACACCTTAAAGATAACATGCACCAACGATCTTTGCCATATATTTTATGTTAACATACTTCACCAGCCTTTCGTTTTAGAGTTTGATGCAGCCATCATCTTCACATGGTGCAAACATTAAATAAACTGCTCTGGTCATGTGACAATTTGCACTAACCATGTGACACTGCACATATTTAATTGAGACCTCTTCCATATTGGCAGGAACTGCACTAAAACACCAGTCAGTATCATTTTTAGAGCTTTATAAATGAAAACCTTCTTGACGGTCACTATTGATTAATGGGTTAACATTGCAAAGCTTTTTGCACCAAGTGTTTCGTTGAATAGGTCCATACACCACATAATGTCCTCGCAGTTCAGTGCGCGTGAGTGGGCGAGTGGGGAAGCGCGAGAGGAGGGGTGAGGAAAGGAGGGGGTTTCGTGCACCAGCCGCACTGCTCTTCTCTGCTCGCGCCGCGGATTTCCGCTGGATTTCTTTCCTCACGTCACTCCGTCTCGCCTCTCGCCGTGTTTCATACTAACGCCAAAGAGCAAGAAGAAGAGCGGGAAAAGGGAACGCTGGAGCGCCGGAGACGCACAGAAAGAGAAGGAAACTCAACATCAACACCCCCTTTCCAAGATGAGCGAGGTGAGTGAGTGAGTGAATCACGGCGGTTGTCAATGCAGCAGACGCACCAGTGACTGCAGGTGAGTCTCCGGTAGAGCTCTTTACTGCCTGCCTCGTGTGTACGTGTTGCTGCTTTCGGGAAAACATGTCGACAGGTGCGACAAAATGCAGGATTTGAAGTAAAAACAGAATGTTTCTTTTAAAAAGTCGTCTTTAACACACAAAATAGCAGCTGTCTTGCACTTTCCATGCATTTGCGCCTCCCCACCCCATCCACCGCATCTCGCGAAGCTGCACTAAAGAGACTCACTCAACGCATAGATCAGAGGCGCGAAATCACCTCAGTACTAGACAGTGTGCGTTTCTTTCTCCTTTTCCCGCCCTTTTCCCAGAATAAAGACGCTGCTGTCGTAAATCGGTGGCATAGAGGGTTTGCTAACTGTTTTTAAAATTCATAGTTACTCGAGAAAACAAGTTTTTTTGGGGGGAGATACTCTATTCTATTTGGAAAAAAAATAAAAAAAATAATAATAAATTTAAGGGATGAAGTGATATTAGTGTCTCAAAAAAAAGTTGGTAGGTAAGTTCAAAAACCTCTCTGGTTATTTTGTGAACTAATTTTATACATTTTGATTTAAGTGATAGACCTGTCACACAGTGGTAAGATTATTTGGTATATAAAATTGTTTTTCGCTTACCTTCCGCCCCTTAGCAACAGTGCGAACACTATCTCAGAATATCCCGCCCGATCTCCCGCCTTTTAAATAGCACAATATATTTGTTTTAACTATACATTTAGTATAAGGTTAAGTAAAATTTAATTAGTCCATATATAAATATTGTTCAATAGTAGCCCTATTTGTTTCCTCTTTTAACGTATCCTGTAGTATTGGTTGTGTAGATATTTCCCTTGTAATGCTTTTTTTTTCTTTATTTTTTTTACATTTAATTTAACTGGTTCATTCAGTATATTTTGTAGTTATACTGAGTCAACATTACTCCATTAGTTTAGACCAACATAAGTCATTTTTACATTTTATACTGTATCTAAGTCAGAAGGAGCTTTATTACCAAGTATGTGTTACTCACACGATGATTTTGACTTGGCGACAAGAGCTTCCAGTGCAGAAGAAAGTAATAGAATTACACAGCAAAATGAAATAACACTAATATAAGAAAAACAGAAACAGCTGACAGCTCTAGAGTACCAAGCCTAATTCTCCTGTCCATGACTAAATCTAGATGATTCGAAAAGTAGCTTGTAGAATGTAGTTTATAGACCCTGTGAGCATTTATCATAATGAAGAGATGGAAATGTAATGGACTGCACTGATTACTCTTCTCTTTGAAATACTCCCGAGATGTGTTGAAGGAGCTGGTCGCATTTTGGCAACACACTCTGATCAGATCAACCAAGCAATTTTGACTGATAACTATAGTTAAATTGGGGAATTCACACAAGGGAAATTTCATTTTCCTGTTAATACCGATAATCTCAAAATAACCAAATACTGTTTGATTTATCGAGATGTATACTTTTTATTGGGTTTTGAAGCCTGTATTTACAACTTCTTGTACTGTGTCATGTGGTCATTGTAAGCTCGCATCTGCTAAACCAAGGCAAATATATTGGCACATTTTATGATTATCAGCATACGTTGATGAATCGTCAGTCTTTATTTGATTTCAGCAATTCTAAGAACATCTCATTTGCCATCATTAAAATTGTATACATTAGTATTATATTAGCCACCTTTCAGAATATTCCATTTTTGTTATTTTAGTGAATTTTAAATTTCAAGTTAACATTTTTAAATATATTATGAAAAAAAAAAAATTAATTGCGGCCGTTATCAGACACACTACTCTCTAATTATTGGTAGAGATAGTTGTTTTTAACTTATAAATTAGTATTATATTAGCCACCTTGCTCTCTAGATATCCGCATTAGCATTGCTCAATAAAAAAAACACATATCGGTTGACATTGTGCCTTTTTCAGTTTCGAACTGTGAACAGTGATTTGTGCCCGCTGTCATCTCGGTTATTCTCTTCTACTTTTCCACTCTGCTCATTTTACATAACATGGATTGTCTTACAACATGCATCCATCGCACATGAGAATCTGTTCCTGAGATGACAAAAGCATTCTGGGTCATATACACCTAAGCAATGTCGCATGTGCCTGACCTGACCATCAGAAATAGCTCTGAGCCAGTGTCAGAATGTCATCTTACAGCCATGCGGCCATGTTGGGAACTCATGAAACAAAATGCCAAGGGGTAAAAAAAAAATGAAAAAAAAAAAATTAATTGCGGCCGTTATCAGACACACTACTCTCTAATTATTGGTAGAGATAGTTGTTTTTAACTTATAATCTTATTAATTATCTTATTTTAAAAGATTAATTATTCATAACAAATTAGTAAAACATTACTAAAACAGTTTCATATTATAAAACATTTGAGTTCAAAACTGAAATAAATAGTCAAGTCAAATCTATTTAAATATTTATTGCTTTTCAGGATACATATTTATACTTATACATAAGCAGCTTTACAACTAATTCTGTTAAAATGTTACTGTTTATAATATCTTAATATTTGAATGCCTTATAGTCATATTTGGCAGATTAGAGCTCGGCGATAGTATAGTCACATTTTGCGATGAATCAACAGCAATCAAGCAGTTGAGACTTACTATATAGTGTACAGTGGGTATAGAAAAGAATCACATTGTGTTGCTTTGCAGCCTGGAATAAAGATGGATACAGTTTTTGTTTTATCCAGCTGTATTTACTCAGTGCAACTTATAACATCCAAGTGAAATATATAAACACCAACATGTCAGAAAAAAACAAAAAAAACAATCACTGAGTTGGAAAAAGGATCACCTCCTTGTGTCAGTATTTTGTTGAACCACCTTTTGCATTATTAACAGACTTTGGTCTGTTGGGATTTGTCTCTACTAACATTGCACAGCTAGACTTTGCAATATTTGCTCACTCTTCTTTGCAGAACTGCTCAAGTTCAGTTAAATGTGATGGTGACCATTTGTGGACTGCAGTCTTCAAGTCATTCCACAGATTTTCAGTGGAGTTTAAGTCTGGGCTCTGACTAGGCCATGCTAGGACATTTACCTTTTTCTCCTGCAAAAGGTTGGAGGTCCAGCTTGGTGAAAATCGTGGCTCCCCTTAGATGTTCTAAGGCAGCTGGGATGAGAGGAAGGAGGTATCTGAATTTAATGGTGATCGTGTTGAGGGCTCGATAATCTATGCAGGGCCGCAAGCCTCCATCCTTTTTTTGCCACAAAGAAGCTAGAAGCAGCAGGGGAAGTAGATGGTCTGATGTAACCTTGCTGTAAGGCCTCCCGAATGTACTCCTTCATGGCCTCTTGTTCAGGTACTGTCAAAGGATAGATTTTGCCTCTGGGTACTGGTTCACATGGAAGATCGATAGCACAGGCCCATGGTCGGTAACTGGGAAGCTCTCTTGGGACAGAAGACGTCTTTGAACTGGGAGTATACAATAAGTCAGGGATGTCAACGGATTGCTGATTCACGGGACTCTCGATGGAGGTAGAGTAGACGACAACTGATCGCAGCCCCTTCTTGAGTTGACGTGGTAACGTAGGAAAACATCACTTGCTCCATTTCTTTCTCTCACCATTGTCCCAAGAGAGCCATCCCTAACCACGATTGCCGTAGGATGACACCAGCAGTGCAATTCTCCAGAACCAGTAAGTGAATTTCCTCTTGGTGAAGGATTCCAACACGTGAAAGAAGTGGACCCACTCTATACCGGATGTCTGCACGGTTCAGGGGTTTTCCAGTGATGGATTGGGCTTTATGTCTCTCACACGGGGTCTTCTGGAGGTGGAACTGGCATCAGAAATCAACAGAGATAAAGTTCCCGGTTGATGAGTGCAGTGACTGGAAAGTAGATATTCGAGAAAGTAAACATTTTGGTAGTAAGAGGCAATGAACTAACATAGTTTGCTTGGACAACACTCACCAAAGGTCGATGAGGTTGGATGGGGCATTCCACAATAAAATGCCCAGCAGCACCGCAATAGAGGCATACTCTTTGGGTCAGCCACCACCTGCGTTCAGCCAGGGATAACTGTGTAGATTCCACTTGCATGGGTTCTGCTTCTGGAGAGCTGGTGGGCTCTGGTTGATGAAAGGCGGAGGAGATGCTAGGCTGACCCTGGAAGGTTTCTCCACAACTCTGCATATGATTTGCTACTCAAATAGAGAGTTGGACAAATTTCTCGAGGCAGATGGAATCATTGTATGCAGCGAGATGCAGCCGGAGTTGAGGAGACAATCCCTGTCGGTAAGTGGTGATAAGAGAGCTCTCGTTCTAACCGGTTGATGCCACTAGGCAGGGGCACCTTAAGATAACCAGAGGCCCCTTTGCTATAGCATTAGGGTAGGCCAACCTAACCTATATATATATATATTTTTTTTTTTAGCTTCCTGACAATTGTCAAATTTCATTTTTGTCTTGTTGACATGTCAGTTAACATTTACAGCACTGTTCTGCTTAATATGAATATAAGTGAATATGCAAATTCACTCTTTGCCAGAAAGTGGCACTTGTGGAGCATCAGAATTATAGCCTTTACATAAACTAAACACTACGTTATTACAGGCATTACACGGAGGTAATATGAAACAAAAATGCCATCAAAACTTTCCAGGCCAAAATCTGAGTTTACAGGTATGATTTAGACACCATAAATTACACAAAATATGCATTATTCATCATTAGTAGATAGAAACAATCACTTGGCAAGTTGATTAAATGTGGGCTATTTGGTGGTTGCTAACTGCGTTTTTATTTTTAAACATGCCGTGCTTGCGCTTGATTAAATCATAGCATAAAGACATGTACAGAGAGCAGCTCTCATACTAGGCTTCTTTACTAGCGCATTATGCATTTGCTCACAGTATATCGGTGGAACATACCAACTATACAAACTGTGTGGTGGAAGCCTAAACTGAACCATTCACTACATATACTTCAAGAAGGGCGTCACTGGAAATGAGTGTTTGAGTTTGTTTACAGAATGCTATCGTCACTGCTGCAAACTCCTATATATACTGTACATATAATTATTCGAAAAATATAATCTACCTGCAGCCAGTATGCCCCTCCCAAGTGTAGGCCCCTGGGCTTCAGCCCGTTAAAGCCCGTGTGTTAATGCGCCCCTGCTACTAGGATGCGAAACAAACTCTATTTTGTGCTGTGAGGACGTTTTTTGACTGCTCATGTGCAAATAGCGCTAAGCGGTCCTGCCCACCACCGCAGTATAAACGGCAGTCTATACAGCACAATCTCTCTCGGTTGCATAGTATAAACGGCTCACCACACGGCCAGCCCTAATAGAGACAACCAGAGAGAGAGGGAATGCGACATGCGGCACAGAAATGTAAAGGGCCTGGAGAAAGCCACACACACGGAAACACTCGATCAGCGTTTGCATAAATGGCAACTTCAACTTCTGCAGGTTTCCCTGATCTTTCTCTCTTCCTCCCCTCTCAACCTACAGCAGCTCCCTGGGGTGGCACTTAAATGCTGCAATCTGTCTCTGTCTCACGGGCGTCTCTCTCTCTCGCAGGCACGCTTTCGCTCCCACTCCCTCCATCATTTCACCTGTTCTCCAACTGCAGTTCTTACAGAATGAAACGAGACAGATCTTTATTGCCAAATCAGCCGAGAGACGCAGAAAGAGAGAAAAGGGGAGGATGTGAAGAGAGAGTCAGTGAATGGACGCAAGGCAGCGTGCGAAGGTGTTAATTACGTGGGCTGCTTTTCCGTTCCCGTCTTTCTTTCACGCTGTCTGTGACCTTGCTTTTCCCTCCTCCGTCCCCTGAGATTTCTCTCTCCCTCTTCATTTAATTCATCTCGTCTTTCAGCCGCATTTCACCCCAAACACAGATGTCTGTTTCCTCTCTTTCTGCCTTGTGCGGTGCAGCCGCTCCATAGACGTCTCTTCCGCTGTCTTGCTTTTAAATGGGAAGGGAAAAGTGCCAAAAAAAACTCCCGTCGCTCCGAGCAGAGGACTGGGGAAAGAAAGCGGAGGTGAATAAAAACAAATGCATTAGAGGGCTTCACTGCTCCACTGCAAATCTCCATCCTACGGTGAACGGCTGCAGTCACGTGACATTACAGCAACGTTGTGGCAATGTTGCGGAGACATTGATGGGGATTGGCAACTACAACACTGACTCAGTTTCTGAGTTCTCTCTCCTTTTCTTGGTACATTTTGTTCCTGCCGTGTTTTTCCTCTACAGAATTGACAATGATGGCTTGAGAGTTCAGCTGGTCAACTTCTAAACAATATTACCTTGAATAATATATTGGTACTTTTCAGCCTTTTGATGATATTTGACATATCTCCATGTTTATTTTTTAAATCAGAGAAACCTAGGGTTGGATGGTATGATATCATTTCTATATCAGAAAACTATATTCTACTCAGAATATGTATAGTGTAAACATGGTGGACTTTACAGCTACCAAGAAGCATCGCAACTAATTAAAATGTACAGTTCAACTGATTTGCCATCACATGTCGCTTGTATATTGGCTCATCCAATCATATTTACAATGCATTTTTATTTGAAATTCACACATTTCATAATATAAAGCTGTTTTTTTCAGGCTTGTTATTCATTTGTTATGATCTTTGACCTTTTGGTTTGTGTTCCAAATAAAAAAGAAATGAGATGGAGCTCCTTTCATTTGTAAACTAGCTATGTATTTTACTGAATTAAACAAAATTGGGCATTACTACATGGATACACATGCAGTGAGCCATGCAAATGTGATAAATAGAGACTGAAATGTTATATAGGCGACACTAATATATATGACTGATATGAACACAGATCATAAAATTAGGTCACGTTGTATGTCTTTATGTGTTTCTGTATGAACAAGCTTTGAAGTGTTCATACGACTGCAATAGTTCACTACAGATGGTTTACAAACCCACACGTTCACCACCTTAATACAAATATATATGATGAGAGAAAATTTCCCTTTAGACTTGAGTATTTTTAATAATATTTACTGTAATGCTATTATTTATAAAAATATTTTATCACTAATAAATGCTCTCTTTGACTAATAATAAAGTAATAGTCTTCGGTTATCATTTACGCACCTTCATGTCATTCCAAATTGTATGATTTTCTTTCTTTCGTGAAAAAAAAAGAGACCCTTATCCCTTATAAAAAAAATAAACAAATAAAATAAATAAATGCACTTGGTGTAGTACACATGCAGTAAACTGGACAGAAAGCTGCACTTTTACGGCATCCAAAGTTCCAAACTTGTGCTACAGTGCAAAACTGCATTAATACACTGCATACAAATTACCACAAGTATTACCATAAGTACTGCAAAAGTGTTTTATTTGTTGCACGTCAACCACAGTGATCTGTTGAGGAGACATTGTGATTGAGTCATAGCATTGGCCGGATTCTTTTACAGTTTACAAACAACTGCAACACAATCTGAAATATTTGATTAAAAAACAAAAAAACAAAAAAAACTGCTAGACATTGAAAGTTCAACTAACAATAAGAAATTGATATATGAAGGTACCTAGCATAAACCTCCTCAAGATCAGCAACTCAAGACGTCTGGAACTAACCATTAACTGTAAAACATTAGTGAAGTTGCAAATAAATAATGTATATGTGAGAAAGAGTCACACGCAATTGCTGACCAGAATAGCATAGCTGCAGTTTTAACTTTACCACAGCACTTCAATGCAATTTGAAAACGGGCACAGTTATCAGTAACTGCAGAGCAGTTGTTATGAAAACCCGCTGTACCAATGCATTTGCTCTGCATTTGAGAGTTGCATTATACTGGACTTTGGTTGTAAATTCTGGCCTAAACTGCAAATGTACTACACCGTTATAAATGCACCAAAACCGTACCACACAGTCTTACAGTATTTGCACTGTAGTGAACTGCAGTTATGTAATGTGGGAGGCAAATGGCTGTACTGCAGTTACATTACAGCAGATTACCAGTACTTATATATGAGAATTTAAAAGCTTTGTAAGTACTGCAGTACAGTTTACTATTGAGCAGTATGGCATCAGTGCACGATTGATTACAATTGATTACAATAATACTGCAGTTCATTTTTTAAGAGGATGTTTTGCATGTTCATGCTGCTTTTTTTATACAATGAAGGCATGCAGTGAGCAGGGTTAGGACTATATTCCAAGTCTTCTGATGCATACGATAACTCTCTGTGACAAACAGACTGAAAAGTAAGTTATTCACAGTTAAATTGTCTTGTTCCTCACACAAAGCTATCATATGTTCTACAGTGCACAAGCAGTGACGGTCAGTGGTCTTTCAAGGGTGTCAAGGGGATGTCAATTACAGAATAATGGCAGAATCAAATTGTATACTCATTTTGTGTACTGTTGATTAAGAATAGCCATAGAGATGGCCAGAAACACTACTCATTTAGCTAGTTTATACAACTGAGCTACATTATTTCCCATAATTCTCTGTGGCATCATGAAAATGATAAAATACAAGTCAATTCAAATGTATTTGTATAGCACTTGTCACAATACACGTTGTTTCAAAGCAGCTTTACAGACAATCATGTTAATGTTTATAATACCGTCTTGCTTTATAGTCACATTTAGCAGATTGATGCTGGAAAAATACACAGACAAAGCCTCAATTACACACCAAATGTGCATACTTTACTCTTAATTACGTTGCATTAGTGCTAAAAAAGATGAAAGTTTGAGTTCATTTCATTCCACACAAAATCACTTTCAACACACATGTCGTAATTATGTCAAACTCATAAGTAGGAGCTTCCAGGAGGACTAAGCAGCATTACACTGCCAGTGAAGCATGGCTTTAAAAGACTGGATGGGCTGTGTGTTCACTGAATCCTAGGTGCTTTAATGGTACTTTTTAAAGTTTGACATCCCCTGGACACTGCATGCTTTTGTTGTATGGAAAAGAGCAGCTTCAGTCACATAGGTTTTTCTTCTCCAGGCCTGGTTTGCAGTCAAGTTATTGATTGTATGTAAAAATGTTCTGCAGGACCTACAGCATTATCGAGCAAAGGGCAACACTTGGGAGTGTTCAAAGTTTTGATCTCAAACAAGCGCGTGTTGCCCAAAGCAGACAGTAAATGGCCGGCGTGTGTCTGACCTTCTCTCTCTGTCTGTTTCTCTGCCCTCCAGCGTGGACACACAGGGGAGGCCAACAGCAGCCAAACGTCCGCCACAGACAACAAAGGTCTGTCTGCCTCTCCACATGTCTATCTGTATACAGTCGCTCTCACATTCACAGCGATGCTGGGACGATGTATCACACATTAAGCCACCTACCATCCATTCACAAACACCACAGCATCATTTTAGACAGTTTTGCATAGGCACTTCAGAAAATGTACAAATCTAGTGTCATTTGTGCCCTTGTGAATAAGAAGCACGCTTGAAAAAAAACAAAACCAAAAAAAAAACTTGCAGGCAATGAACTAAATAAAAGGCCACTTAAATGACTTAAAGAGAGACACGTTCATGACTATTTATTTAAACACTTAAGTACACTTTTAAAAATTGCACTGTAATAATGTCAGATTAAAAGTTTTGTTTTCAATTTTGAATGTTATGTTTTAATAATCTTTTGTCGAGCTTGAAAGAAGTACACTTATTTTTGTGTTGACATACTAAAGTACTAGTAAAGTACTTTTAGTTTGAAAAGAAGTGTGTTATTCAATATTAGATTAAGTAATATATTTTAAATGTATTAAATTGCAACTTCATTAAATGTGTGATTACGCATATATTTATATACAGTACATGACAAGTTTCAATAGGAAAGACATTAAAGTATTTGGTAACACCAATTCTCACTATTAACTAGTTGCCTATTAGCATGCCTATTATTAACATATTGGCTGTTTATTAGTACTTTTAAAGCACATATTCTGTATGACCATATTCTACATCCCTAATCCTACCCAATACCCTAAACTTAACAACTACCTTACTAACTATTAAATTAGCAAATTAGGAGTTTATTGAGGCAAAAGTCTTAGTTAATGGTTTGTCAATAGCGAGAATTGGTCCTTAAAATAAAATGTGACAAAGTACTTTTA